TCTTTACCTTCCGTCTGGGCGCTGGAAGTTTTCTCTTCCACAGAAACACTATCATCTGACCCTAACTCCTATCCTTCTTTAAGGCATTGCTTTTTCAGTGTGTACAAAAATATTTACCATGTGTCAGCAGTTTTTCCAAAAAAACGCGTACTGTCCCTTTAACTGCCGGACCAAGAAAAAAGCTATGGAAAAATTATTTTTTTTGCATTTTCTTATCAAATGGGCCACAAATAAGCACAAACACATTTTTTTTTTTGACACACAAACACAAACTCAAATACATTTGTTTCTTTTATGGAAAATGAGCAATATATACAACCAGATATATTCATAAAAGATAATAAATTATAATTGTAAAAAAATAAAAAATGGAAAAAAGTAATGTAAAGTGTTTTTCATGATAAAAAAAATACTTGCTCATCTTACTGTATTGGCCTAACAGGAAAACACTGTCTATATCCTGTGTTGGCCTAACTTGCTCATCTGTGTGCAATTTTGGGCTGAATGCCATGCATGAAAGGTGCTATATAAATGATTATCACTCTTTCACTCTGAGACTCATAAGGCAGTACTATATTTAGTAATATTACCATGAATCTAGCCATTTATTTACCATATTTTATTGGAAAACATCTCTGAAACTCTGAAAAAGTCATATTGCTAACTTACCATAAAAGGCCAATTCGACCGATTGGTTCAGCATATTTTCCAAAAAATTATTACACCCTTGTTAAAACTTTTTTTGTGGATCAAGTTATCTAATTATTTTCAGTCAGTGCCCTGCCACTAAAATATGTCAAAAAGGATATGGTTACCTTACAAAAGTTGACAAAAAAGAGTGATTTCTTCAGCAGTGATTTTTAGCATTGCCAACTTTCTCAGTTGAAGCTAGCTGAATGGCATTCTGTTTGAACCACAGTGACATCTAGAGGTTGTTTTGTGCATAACATGTGAACCAAAGGGTAGAGCTGGCTGAATCAGATGTAGTTCAACTTTACAACAAGATATCAAGGCGCGAAATGTGCTCTACCAAATGGTGGTGCTGGCAGTTAAAGGGTTGACAGTGTTGGACCAAGAGAACAATCACCATCCCTACAGCCACACCCAGAGGTGGAAGAAGTACTCAGATCCTACTTAAGCAAAAGTACGAAAGTGTTAGCACCCAAATATACTTAAATTACCAACACTGAAATGACTCCTTATGCAGAATGGCAACTTTTTGAAAAATATTTTATACCACGGGATTATAATTGTGATTTATTCATTTTAAATCATTTTAATTTTGCAGCTAGTAAAGATGGAGCTGATATATAGATACACATTATATGAACCTGCAAAGTAACTACTAACTAAAGCTGTCAGATAAATGTAGTCAAGTAAAAAGTACAATATTTGCCTCCAAAATGTAGCGGTTAATGTAGCATGAAATGTAAAATACACAAACCACAACATTGTACTTGAATAAATGTACTTTCCACCACTGGATAAACCCTTAGTGTCGCCATTATGGCAACAAGATTGACTTTCAATAATAAAAAATGTCAAAATAATTTAAACCGAAGTTGAAATTCACAAAGAAAATCAACCAGGGTAATTCCAGGTCTTTTCTACCCTGTTCTGAGTGACGCTATGTTGTAATCTGTCATTATGAGAGCAAGTTGCTTTAGGTTGTGGAACATGCATGTACTCAGGTATGGTATGGAGGGCGAGGAATTTCTAAATTAAAGGCTAAGTTCACTTAAGTTACACACACGTTCAACCCCAATCCTGTAGGGTAAATGGTGGGTACGTGGATCACTGAACACAATCCGTGTCCTGCCCTCACACAGAGGGGAAGTACAGGGTGTTGGATTAGAGCCACGTAGCTACATAAGCTTAGAAGTTTCATTACATATGTATATCTCTTATTCTACTTCCCCCGTGGATTTAGGAAGCTATTTTAATCAATCCTATGGTCCGGATTCTCTTTGTCTGTTGGTGCCCCGGGGGTGAGCAAGAGACACCTTCAAGGTCCCCTATTTATACTGTTTTTCATCAATATATCACAGGTCTCAGATATATACAGAGCCTGTCTCTGATTGGCTGAAACACTTTACCCATAATCCCCTCTGTTTCAGCCCTGTTTCCAAAGTGCTGATTCTCTGTCTGTTNAAAAAACAAACAAAAACAAATTATAAAATAAATACATGTTCAAATAAGTAAAACTGTGATCACCAGTTCAATACATTTGACAAATTCGACTTGGTTTCTATACTTATTTGAACATGTATTTATTTTATAATTTGTTTTTGTTTGTTTTTTGTCAACATTTTTCCCACATTTTGTTTTTTTATAGGATGTGTACATTTCGGTTAATCGGTTAACCGTTTTTTTGGGGGTCGAATATTCAAATATACATTTGCTTTCAAATTCCCCTCCCTAATTTATATGCAGGCATAGAAAAGTGAATGTTTCTAATTTATTTTTGCTTCTTTCCCCCATCGCAGGTGAATGTGGGCAAGATGGATTCTCCCATAGAGAAGTGGAATCTAATCATAGGCAACCTGGCCCTGAAGCAGGTAAACACAAATGTTCCCTAAACTATTTATTTGCACATCCCTGCATAAATACTACAACCACATTTTCTTTGAATTAATTCACAATTGTCATATTTTTGATTAGCTTTTAAAATATATGCACCATTACATTTTCAAATGAAAGCCGTTACGGATTAGTGGCCATGAGAATAATCAAACACAATGGCTTAATGCATCTTACATACATTAATTCCAGTGTGTATGGTTGTTATAACCGTCTGTAATATTCTCGATACACATGTAATGCTAACTGAGTGGGTGTTCGCTCAGACTGTTTTATTGATCTCTCTCTCCTGTGTAAGAACTTTCCCTTTAATCATCTACCCACCCACACACACTGATAAAGACACAATGACGCATGGAACTTCATATTGTTTTGCTGAGCTGTTGGTACGATGTGTTTCACAACTACGCCCACGTCAGCAGGAAGTGTTACGTAAAGGAGTTCATGGTGTTAATTACAGTATGTATGTCACCTTACCTCCCTAATGAAACCCTTCCACTAATCCTAAGTCTGTTTTTTTTATTTGATTTGATTATTTATTCTACTATTTCAACAATTAAACAGTTTACACATCCAAAAAACAAACACAAGTAGTAGAAGCTGGAGGGCAGAATGCAGAGCTTAGTTTGTCGTCCAGTTGCAGGATAAAGTAAGAAAAGATAACTCCGTAATTAAATACTCACACAGATAAACACAATTCTATATATACATACACATACATATGCACACATATACATACATACAACCATTTCCAGGGTGAACATAAAATAATAAAGTAAAACAAATAAGAAAATTAATTCTTACAAGTCCATGTTCAGATAACGGTTTCATTTCTCATCCTATGTGTATGTAAACTGATAATCAAGATAATTATAATAATAGTCATTATAATTGTTTTTTAATCTATTTTCAAGTTAATCCAAAGACACATGTCGTGGTGCTTGTTGTCTCCACTAGATAACGTTCCCCCTCCCTCTTCTTTCCCCCAGGTCCAGGCCACGGTGGTGGGCTTCCTGGCTGCCGTCGCTGCCGTTACCCTCGGCTGGATCCCAGAGGGGAAGTTCCAGATGAGCCACGCGGTGCTGCTGTGCTCCAGCAGCGTGGCCACGGCCTTTATAGCCTCCATGCTGCAGGGTAAACACACACAGACAGACAGACAGACAGACAGACAAGACAGACAGACAGACAGACAGACAGACAGACAGACAGAGCTGTTGTAGGAGCCATGGTGTGTGTGTGTTGTGTTACAGCTGTTCCAACATCGTAAAGTAATCTGTTGACTCTGTCGCTGTGGAAAAGCTGTGACACTGCGGTCCTCCTCCCAAACTGTCTTTGTGTCGTGTAAATATAAGTTCATTTGAATAATTGAGTCAAATAAAATTGGTTTATTTAGCACTTTTCATACACTAAGGCACTGCTTCTCAAAGTGTGGTCCGTGGACCACTGGTGGTCCGTGAGCGCCCCCTAGTGGTCCTTGAGTATATTGGTA